CCGCTCCCAATTTACCGCCCGCCGTACGACCTTATTTATGCGCTGCAAAATGAAACTAGTTAGATATTTTTACACACACACTCTCTCTCCCCTCTCTCTTCCCCTCCCTCCCTCTCTCTCTCTCTCTCGCACATACACACACACACATACACACACACGCTTGCACGCATGCACGCATATAGACACGCACTGTCGTGACTCGACCTCGTAAACTTCTTTTAAACATAATAATATAATAACAATAAAAAAGAGATCAATAATATAATTAGGAAATATTAACAAAAATACGAATAAGCAAAATAAGTAAAGTAGATAAGAGCAAGCAAAAAAAGCGAGTAGCGCGAAAGCGACCTCGATACTGGCCGGACTCCAAAAAGTACGAGTAAGCAAACATCAAAAGAAGAATACGGCATGCTGAGGCTGCAACGCCCTAAATTAAAGCAGATATAAGAAGATTGACAACGATCAACAGGGGTCATCTTAGAACGTGCCACGCGCAGTGGTCCGCGCATTGCCAAATTATACTATCATTACAATAAAATGTTGTTTATTATGAACTCGCGAGTGTCTACTTAGTACGTAGGTCCTAACCCTTTGGGCGTGACGATCCTCTACCTAAACGTTTCTACCTTTGGCGACGGGCACAACATAATTTGGTGGTAGCGGTGAGATTCTCGACGCCAGCACGGGTAAGACCTCGAGGAAATAAAAAGATGTTACGTCCCGTACGCAATCGCGGCGTGTTATTCACGAGGGGTATATCTCACGTTACACGTGCTCGGATTGTTGCGTGAGACAACGTCGTATTTAGGAAAAGTTTCCGGGGATACTCACAACAAAGGGTTTTCCGGCGAAGTTGCACGACGCGAAGGGTGGGGGAGAAGACGAATTACTTTATGGCTGCAATTACGACTGTCACATCCTAGTGACCTTCCTACTCTGTCTATTCCTAGGCTAAAAAGAATGGGGCGCTCTCTATTTTTTATGAGGCAACCTGCTTACACCGGCTATACCTCAGGGACGCCGAGAGCACGGACTATACTGTGGAACTAGGGACCGAGTGTTGGGACGTTGGGGATGGGGAATTTCAGTTACTAGTGAAAAAAGGAATTCTACTAGCAATTCTAAACTATCTAATAAATTTATCAATTGATCGACTGTAATTTCCCCATTTAAATAGTTGTTAATTAATAAATTTAATAGCGAAAATATTATATAACTCTCAAATTTAAGGTCTTGAGAATCCCTCATGGGGTCTTATTATTAAACAATTATTCAAATTACACAAATTATCGGTTCCGTAAAGTCTCGCGTTTATCGTGTGCAATGAATCCGGAATGTTATCTAAACAGAATCACGAGAAATTGGTCTAAATCGATGTTTCCCTCTAAAACGTCTGTTAATAGGGCAATAATTATACTTATTATTGTATGAATTTCTTTGTTAATTAATTTCCGATTTTCTTCAATAGTAAATTCTAATGACATTTAAGAAATGATTCAAAAATTTAAATAACTAGCATATTGATCGATTTTAAATGAGATATCTGGACACCGTTCTTCTAAGAATTTTATTAGATCCTGGGAGATTTCCTCCTCTATTTCCGATACTAAATCGCACAGTTTTGTGAATAATGATGATTTGAAAATGTCATCGTTAAAATCAAAAGAATTAGGTAGTCAATTGAGGGTTCAATCTTTGTGTCTGGGAAGGTTCTTTCGTCCGTAAAGAGGGTTTTGTCAAGGGCTTGTCGCTGGAGCCAACGTAAAGTAGATGCGGCGCGATTAGCACGAGTCTTTTACACGCTCTATGATTACGTTTCTGTCGATATTTGATCTTTTGTTTTCGCGTCCTCATGAGGCATAGAATGGTAGTGAAGTATCTAATTTAATAAGAGGATACTGTCAGGGAGATATTAATAAGGAAAATGTACTGATGGAGATTGCATCAATGTCGTATTAATATCTTTGTTAATTTACCGCTGGATCCCGTCAATTGTATTTAGGTAGACATTAGAAGAATAGTTTGCAACGCCTTTTCCTGTGCCGAAACGCCAAGTACGGACAGGGGAGCGTTCAATTTAAAGATTCTCCAAGTTTAACTAATAAACGGTAAAAAATCGGTATCAGAAGAATTAATTCTACGCCCTTAGGGGCGTTCATTAACTCACGGTAAAGTTGGGCGCCAGGCGCGTGTGAACGCGCCACGATAATACTGTGAACGGTACTTAACGTCACTTTTCCAAAAGTCATACAGAGTCGCGGGTCTATAGGAGTGATGGGTCTATGGTTGAGAGAGAGGTATAGAGAGACATACACGTGGTGTTAGAGTTTGACAGATATATATATTTGACACTTAGGATTTACAATTTGACATCGGATACATACAATTGGACAATAAAATTATGTAACAAACAGTAAGATATAAACTAGCGGTAGCGAATCAAAAATATAATATAATAAGATCTGCGAGTAACGGTATTTTCGGAATTGACTTATAAAATCAGTATTAGTTATACACGGTGAAACATTCAATATAATTTCGCGACAATAATATACAAACGGAATAACAAATACAAAATCGGAAAACGTTATGATGGTCTAACTTATTTTCGGGGGCACGCGGAATAGACAGAGGTCACAATACGATATTCCGAGACACGGCACGGTATGAAAAAAACAAGATAACAACTAGATGACGGAGATTTCGTGATTCTCTCGCCCGACTTTCCCGCCGAGTCGAGAACAATGAAATAGTTAACAAACTCGCGGAAACGGCTACACGCAAATCCCGAAAATCTAATAATCGAGCTAATGAAAACGTGACTCTGAGTATTTCGGTAACCCGAATTTACGATAATTATTTTCGAGACGCTAGACTGTCGGAGGCACTTTTCGGAGAGGGCTCTCTTCGCGAAACTCAAAGTCGGCTGGCCCCGCGATACGATATCTCGAAAAACGAAAAGAGAGAGACCGCTCTCTCACACACAAAACAATACGAAAAATGAGAGAGTACGGTACTCACGGTAATTACGGTATACTATCAATCTCTACGGTACCAACCAACACGTAACTACGACTACTCGAGAGGCGGCTTACAGTTTCTGGCGGTGAATTCGAGTCCTTGAGTCGCACTTGTGGAGTCCTGGAGGCACCCTCTCTAGTCTACGGCACACCGAACAGTGGAGAGCCGGGCCTCGCGCGTCTCGGTACCCTCTTTTTCGCGCCGATCTTTTGCGCATCCCTCGATGATAGGGTCGATGGCGGGGGCCCTAAGGTCTCCCCCCGCCTCCCCCTTTAGCTGAGGTAATTCTTACGCCGGTAATGTATCGCTGGTCGACAGGATTTTCCTCCGGGTTTCTTCCCGCGGCCTCTCTCCTTCGGGAACAAACGGGAGGCTGGCCGGGCCCTCCGTAGTCCCCCTTCAGGATCGGCCCTGTGGTTTATTTGGCTCCCGGAGTCCTCTCGGTATCTATAATATTCCAACGCCTAGATTCTGCGCGAGATATATCAAATTAAACTACGAATATTTGATACTTAACTGCGCGAGGTCCCGCGCTCTCTCTCTCCTATGCTCGCTCCATCCTCCTTTCGCGCTGCGGTATTCCGGCATCCTCCTTCTCTCTCTTGCTGCGGCACTCCGGCATCCTCCCTCTCTCTCTTGCTTAACATGTCTCTCTCCGGCCGCTCTCTCGAGCCGTCCTTGTCGCTCTACCTACGAATCGCGTCGCACGCGCATCGACAGGCCGATGCTGCGTGCAACGGCGATTCTCGCAAAAATACGGTAATACAAAATACGAAAAACGACGGATCGCACCCTCCCCGAAGTGAGGGGCGCTCCAGGTCTCCGCGGCCTACCCGATCGGGCTTTTTCGCCCTTGTGACGGCGCTTCAAAAGCGTCACGCCACAACTCCCCCTCCTAGGGGAGGACCGAGGAGGTCTCGCTACGAACCCTTCACCTGCCGCTTCTCCGGCAGATTCTCTTTACATGCTTAAAAATCGAAAACGGTAGTCCGCCCTGTATCTCTCTGACTGCCCCGACAGCAACATCGCGACATATTCTTTTCGCGTCCGCGCTCTAAAACCTCGCATGAGCCGCTCCGCGACTTCGCGATAGGGGGAATTAGGAAAAGGGAAATAAAGAATACTCTGGTTCCAATAATATGGGTTTATTCCCCTTTTTGGCACTGGTCCATTAAACTAACAATTCTCCAAAAAACAAACACGAGATAAAAATAAAGAAAAATATGCGGAAAAAAAAAAATCGAACAACAACAAAAAGAAAGAAGAAAAAAAGAAAGAAAACAAAGAAAAGAGATATAAAAAAAAGAAAACTCCTCGCTCGTCTCCGCGGCCCCCGCGACGTCCCTATATGGACTTCCCGTCCGTGTCGCGGGCCCACGGCCACCCGTCCCGCGTCGGCGGTCTTCGCGCGCCGGCGATGGCATTCGGGGTGCTCGCGGTCCTCGTCCGGCCGTACACGGCTCTGCCCTGCGGTAGTTTGGGCCGCAGCGGGGGCATTGGCGTAAGGTTACGCCCCGCCACCCGCACCCATAACAGAAATCGTGGGTGCGCCCCAACGGACAGGCCGTGTATGCGTGGGCCTGGTTGCCACAGTTCCAGCACCCTCGCTGGAGTTCGCGGGCCGGCATTCCTCGGGGAGACCGCGTGCGCTACACTCGGCCGGAGCGCACCCCCGGGGTTCGCCCCGGAGATGTCGCCCGCTCCGTTGTCCGCGGCGCTGGAGGTGTTCGCGGCTCGGGCTCCACACGCGGCTCGTCGGGCGTCTGAACCGGAGTTTTCCGGGTCTCCGGGAACCCCCGCACCACCGCCCCCTCGGTAGTGTATACGGCCGCATTATACTGCCTGGCCGTATCCTCCATGTCGGGCCAGAAGCCCTCGTCGTGCTCTTCGATGAAGGCCGCGACCTCGGGGTGCCGCCTCCAGAAATTCCGCAGCAGCGTCCGGGCTGCGACACGTCCGTAACATTTACGCGGCATCTACAAAACGGTATCCGGAACGTGATAAGCTTTAAGGTCCTTAATGTGCCATTTGCCTGCGGGGGTCCCGTCCAGTTGCGCTAATTCGTACACAACTGGAGAGATCACCCGCGCTATCCTATATGGTCCCTGAAACTTGTGAGCCAATTTCGCCGCGATCCTTTCCGCGGCGGACGATAAAACGTGTTGCCGCTTCAGTACCAGGTTTCCCACCCGAAATCTTTTATCCCGTCTACGTAAATTGTAGTGGGAGGCCTGTTTCTCGTACGCTTTATTCAAATTTTCGACTACCCATTCTCTCAATGACTGTAATTTCCGCATCCTATCTGCCCACTTCGCGGTATCTTCGGCGGTAACTTCGGTAGCTTGCTGAGTGCGCCTACTCAGGGAGTAGACCGGTACTAATTCCCGCCCCAAATTCAAGAAAGCGGGAGACGCGCCTAACGACGAATGACATGCGGTATTGTAAGCGAACCGAAATTCGGGAAGGTGTTCGTCCCATTCTCGATGATCTTTATCTATGAACGAGATTATCATCGTTTTAAGAATTCGATTCACTCGCTCTACGGGGTTAGCCTGGGGGTGGTATGGCGGTACGGTAATGTGCGTTAGATTGTGTTCTTTTGCGAACGTTTTCAGGACTTTATTTATAAATTCGGTACCGTTATCGGTCAATAAAAATCGCGGCGCGCCCCATCGGGATATCACTAAATCCTCGAGGGCCTCGCTAATTTTACTCCCGTTGGCCGCTCTTAGGGCCTTGCATTCGACCCATTTTGTAAATAAATCCTGTATCACCAAAAGATACTGAAATCCGGCCTTGCTACGGGGCAGCGGACCACGATATCGGCCGCGACTACGGTCCACGGGCCGTCCGCAATGCGACGTCCCATCAGACCCGCCGGACCTGCCTGATCCACCTTTGTCCGTTGACACAAGTCGCAATTTCGTACATAAGCGGTAACTTCTCAAAACAAATTCGGCCAAAAATACGATACGGCCACGCGCTGATAAGTTTTTTCCACCCCCAAGTGTCCCGCCTGCGGCATGTCATGCGACTCCCTTAGGGCTTCTATACGGTATTCCTTCGGTAGTACGAGTTTCCATCGGTCTAAGTCCTCCACGATATCCGAAATTACGCGCTTCGGTCTCAAAAATACAGTCTACCGTCCAGCACCTTCCATTGCGTGAACTTATTTGGGGTTTCGATAACCTCCCTCAATCGCTTTCGGTACCATTCGTCCGTAATGTTTTCTACATCTATCGTCTCTATCGCGGCATTCACCAAAGCGTTAGTGTGCTCGGTATACGGTATCATGTCGGTATTTTCCCCCTCGTACATTCGCGATAGGGCATCCGGTACATGATGCAACGCTCCCTTCCGATGTATGACCTCGTAGTCATACTCCAATAATTCCAACGCCCATCTTGCCAATTTACCCGTCGGGTTCTTTAAATTATGTAGCCAGCGTAGGCTACTATGGTCGGTAACTACCGTAAAGCGGTATCCTTCGAGGTACGGTCGAAACTTCTTAATCGCCCATACGACCGCTAAGCATTCCTGTTCGGTAACCGTGTACCTCGTTTCGAGATCTGCCAGTGCTCTACTCGCGAACGCTATCACTCTTTCTTCCCCGTCTATCGTTTGCGTTAACACCGCGCCTAATCCCACCGAACTCGCGTCTGTCTGCAGCACGAACGGTATCTCGAAATTTGGACAAGCCAGAGTCGGTGCGGTAACTAAATGATCTCGGATCTCCTGAAAGGCGCGATCCTGATCATCCCCCCATTCCCAGCGCCTGCCCTTCTTCAACAGACGCGTTATGGGCTCGCTGAGCGTCGCGAACTGCGGTATAAAACGACGGTACCAAGATGACATCCCATAAATCTCTTTAACTGCTTGATATTTCGCGGCGCGGGATATTCAAGATCGGTCGCGTCTTTTCGGGATCCACGGTAAGGCCCTCTCGTTGCACGATAAATCCTAAATAACGCACCTGAGAGCGGCAAAATTCGCACTTGTCCGGGTTAGCTGTAAGTCCGGCGGTAACTATTTTATCTAACACTTTCTTCAACCAAATCATGTGTTCCTCGAATGTAGGCGTAATTATTACTATATCTAGGTACGCGAACGCGTGCGGTTCCATTTCAAGCCCTATCAACCGATCTAATAAGCGTTGGAAGGTAGCCGGAGCCCCCGTAAGACCATATGGCATTCGCGTAAAATGATATAATCCCATCCCTGGGACACTAAAAGCGGTAATTTCTCGACTGTTCTTTGCCAACGGTATCTGAAAGTATGCCTGACTTAAATCGATTGTCGAGATGTATTTTGCCGACCGTAATTTGTCCAAAATTCCGTTCATGTTTGGCAACGGGTACGCGTCTTTCTTTGATACTCCGTTAACCTTGCGGAAATCTAAACAAAAGCGATATTTACCGTTCGGTTTTTTCACCATTACGATCGGATTCGACCACTCGCTATAGGATGGCTCAATAATTCCCGTCGCGAGCATTTTCTCGGTCTCCGCCCGTATTGCTTCCTGCACTTTCGGCAATACTACATAGCAGCGTTGCTTAATCGGGGGGCTCGAACCCACGTCTATCGTGTGTTCGGTTAATGCGGTAACTCCGGGGGTGTCCGAGATTGGCGGTAACGTTCGTAAAAAATTTTCTAAACTTTGTTCCTGTTTGGGCGTCAAGTCGGATAATCCACAGCACGAAATCCCCTGCGTACTTTCCGTAGTGAGGCGGTAACGGATGTGTGGCGTTTGCGAAAAATGCCATTCGCTTGTGGCAAAATCTATCACTATTCTGAATTTTGTTAAGAAATCAATCCCGAGTATACATGGTACAGCTAAATTCGGTAACAAACCAACGGTAATTTCGCGGCATCTATCCTCTAATTGTATCGGTACGGTGGCCTCGGCTATAATATCCGCGAGCTGACCGTTTGCGGTGCGGATCTGAATCCCTCTAGTACGGGAAGTCGGGATGTTTAGCGCTTCGATTATTTTCATCCCTTCGCGGCCTATTAATGTGCGATTGGACCCCGAGTCCACGAGAGCCGTGAGACTATGGCCGCGTATCGTGACGCAGAAGAAACGTAGAGACGGTAATATTTCTTTCCCGACGGTAACATACGAATAATTTCGGGTCTCGTTCCTCAAACTCGGAGTCGTAGGGACCCTTTCTACGGGCTCCGGTTCGCGTTTCCCGCACACTTTGTACACGTTTGTACGGTAACGTCCGGTGTCCCGCAGCGGTAACAATACTTTCGGCGCGGTTCCGCGCACCCGCGTGCGCGATGTCCGGTCTTATTGCAGTTCCAGCACTTTATCGTGCTGGTGTTATCTGCAGCCGGCCTGACGGTACACCGGAGACGGTATCTGAAACGGTAGCCGCCGCGTTTACTGGAGCTCCGATATTTGAGGCGGTATTCGCGGTTGTATTCTTCGCGGCCTTTTTCTCTTTGCGAGTGGCGGTCGCAGCCGCAACGGTAATCGGGGCTCGCGTTTTCCCCTTTGGCGCATGATACGCCAAATCCGGGAAAATAGATTGTTCGGGCGGTAACGGGGACGGTAATTTTTCTCGGCCAGAAAACTGCGTTCGACTCGCGTGGCCAAATACTCGAGTGTCGAAAAATCCTCGAATTCTTGCCGCCGAATCGTGATTTGTAACTTCGGCAACATATTGCGATGCGCGAAATTTAGCTGCTCCGCCAGGGACCACTGAGGAGACATCCGACTTAACAAAGCCCTCAAACACGTCAAATAATCGGCCGCGCTCTCGAATTCTCCCTGCGTTCGTCGGAAAATTTCGTCTCGGAGCGCGTACTGATAATCGGGGTCTCCGAATCTCCCCTCCAGGCAGTCTCAAAATCACGCCAATCCCTTGTCACGTCCGGCCGTATAAATTTTTTCGTTTACTCCAAGTTCCTTAAACGCTATTTGAAAAGCGCGCCAAGCCGGCCATGACGCTTAACTCCGCCTAGAAACTAAGCGTGGCGCTTCGTAGCGCCTAAGGATCTCCCACCACGGTGAGAGCCCCTACTCCGGAGAGTTCCCCCTCTCCAGGCCGCCGCAGGCCCGAGCCGCCGAAACGAAGGACCTCAGAGCAGTCCCGAATTTTGGCAGTTCTCTGCGCGACACCGAACAGTATAGTCGCACTCCTAAATTCTAACTCTAAGTCCAAATTCTAAATCCTAACTCTAATTCTAAAATTCTAACTCTAAGTATAATATTCTAACTCTAAATTCTAAGTCTAAATCTAAATTCTAATTCTAAGTTTTAGTCTCGAATTTTGTACTACTATACGAATAAATCAGTGTATTCATGTGTGAAAACTAGTGTTCAGTATTCTTCAAAACTTCCACTCCCGTGATAAAATACGATAGCGTTTTAAATTTGTCATACGGCGTTTGAATTCAGAATAATTCAAACTGTGTTTGGAGCGGACCACCGCTCATCACAGTCAGAATTAACATTCTCAGCATTTGCCAAAATAAGGAATTGATAGTGAGGTCCGCCGCATATCAACCCTCCTTATTTGAGTAATCATTCAGAGGATGCATCAAATTCAATATGCCTAAGACGCGACGCGCAGGAAGGAAGAATCAATTACGAAAACTAAACCGACTTTATCGCGAATCAGCGACCGAGGAATATTCTCAATTCCTCGGAGTGGAATATCAGGCCGATCCTGAATACGAGAACATTTTCAACATTAAAAATAATAACAACGACGAACTCCTACAGTGGAAGTGCATACCAATAACGTTCCAACCACGACGCCTGCCGCCGCCAAACATCCCAGTGAACGACCCTCGCCGCACGCACTACCTCCAAGTACGAGCCGACACGATCAAGAAAGTGCTACTAAAGGTAAGTGAAATTCACGTTAACCTAAGGAATCGCGCGTGTTAGCAAATTCAGAGACGCTTCTACCACGTGGAAGAGAACATTCTAGAAAAATCTCCGACGCATTTTTCCTCTTTTCCATCGTCACTGCGGAAGCTATAAAAAAAGGTCGGGCTATAAAACTAGGGTCGACCACCACATGCGGTGCCACTCTCGGAATTCTAACACGGAAAAACGCAAATAGTTCAATCTCTTAAAAATCTTGTGTCTCAAGAAATAACTTCGTAAATCCGTACAACAAAGTAGTCATTTAAACAATAATCAATTGAGAACACTTTCGATTTACCAACATTACCGACGATATACCGACATACGTTCTTTTACCAACGTTATCGACAATATACCGACATACGTTCTTTTACCGACATTACCGGCTATATACCAACATACGTTCTTATACCGACATTACCAACCATATACCGACATACGTTCTTTTACCAACGGGTTATCGACACCTTACTGGCACCTTACCAGTGTTTTACTGAACAATTACCGACGGTTTTGCCGACGACTACTAACTTCTCGATAACTGCCGGGTTCACCGAAGATCTACGAGCGAATGACGCATTATCAATTCGATTACGCAACAAACACAAATGTGCCCACTCACCCTTAGAGGTATAACTCCTCCTCCAGAAGTTAATCTCTTTGTACCGTTTGAACCCTTATTCTATTGCCAAGTTGGTGTCGGGTACATCCATTTTGAGACTAAGGCAGCTCTCTGCATTTCATGCTACTCCACCTTACCTAGAGTCTCGAAATTACTTTGGACAAGGATTCGGAAGCATACTCTAATCATAGGCGGAACACCTATCGGAATAAATTGCGGAGTCTGCAACTTCCGACTTACCCTCACGCGAATCGGTGATTTGTGCGAGCTTTGTCAGTTTACGTACGAAGATTATTACGCAACCCCAACGACGTTTCGCATAGAGCAATCGACGAAGCTATCTTTATTACAGTAGAGTCACAGGTAGGTCCCTCGCAATAATCCGATCACCTCAGTTCCAGCGCGAATAACCTCAGATCGCGGGTATCCCCGGGGAGAATCGCATAGATTCGCGTACCCGTAATAGCGATCGTGTCTCGTGGAAAAAGCCGAGCTCTGCATTCAAATTTTCGCAGCCGCGACCCCACGAGACGTAACAAAATTTGGTGACAGCGGTGGGATACGAGTTAATATTTGCGATGGAAACACGAGGGAAATCGGGTACGAAAAAGCTCACTGAAGTAGAAATAGACGAACTTCGCGCTCAATTACATGCCAAGGAAGCACGGTTACGCGAACAATCCGAGATGCTTCAACAGCAGAAAGAAACGTTCGAACGCGAAAAACGGGCTTCGGAAGAAGACCTCGAAATCATCCGCAGTAACCTCGTGAGTAAAGAAACGGAGATGGAAAAACGTTTGAACTCCATCACAATGGTAGCAACCGAAAAACCCGACTTAAGCGATCATATGCTCCAAGAAATCGAACGATTACGCCAGGAGATAAACTCCATGCGCGGGAACAATACGATACCTACGCAATATATTCCCAGCACCGCGGGACGCTTTCTCGACGAACAGGCGTCTCCCGCATTCCAACACGGAACCAATTATGATAGTCCAAGGGTGTCTTTCAGGGAAGCACTTGAGACTATCCCGCCATTCGACGGTCGAAATATCCCCCTCTCTCAATTTATACGAGCATGTAGACGCGCTAAAGAAATATTCCCACCATCGTCCGAGCGAAACCTAACCCGCCTACTTCTTACTAAGTTACGCGGGCGAGCTATATGCGCCGTAGAAGACGAAGAGTGCGAAACGATAACTCAACTTGCCGACCTCCTGAATGGAGCCTTCGGATCCCCGAAAACCATCGACCAGTATCGTGGGGAGCTGAGCACAATTTACCTTAAACCAAACGAGCATATCCTTGATTTCATTAGCCGCGTAAAAGACTTGCGATCTTCTATAA